GATTGAAATATAAAGGCTAAAATCCTCGAGGCTTAACTTAACTCAGTACTATTTTGTTTTATTACATTTTATTTATTTTTCAAGTCAGATGTCCCTTTATATTTTATACACAACGTAGCGACTGACCATTTCAATTCTCCGGAGCTATGGTGAATTTTACGCCTTTAGCGACGTGATTTAACTAATTAGAAATTTTACATCATTAAGTTTGAGGGAAAAGAGAGGGGGGAAAAATCTGTCACTCATTTTTAAGAAGACAAGCACTGCTGGAGTGTGAAGAAATCGGCTCTAATTCAAAAATGCACTCAAGCAGAAAAAGTCCTCAACATTACCCTGCTAGTTATTAATCTGATTTTTCCCCCTCTACAGCAAACCGCATCGTTAGTTTTCCTTTTTTTCCACAACAGACTTTTTATTCATCTTTCCATTCGTCCATGTATTATTAATAGTAAGTATTTTTATGTTCAGGCCTCATATATTTTAGAATGCAAGTTTCTATAATCCGACCGTGAAGTGCCTTTTTATTTCGCAAGCATTCTTATTTAAAGTCTACCACAGCAAGATAATATTTGCGTTTTCTGTAGCTCATTTTGTTGTATGTGCTTGGCTTTGTAGTGATGTTTAAGATTGTTTAGAAACAATGAACTGATATAAAACATTTATCAGTATTACTATTACTATATTCTTAATTATTTCTGAGTGTTCAGAATGTTATTTAAAAAAAAAACTGTAATGATTACGTTATACAAGTGTTTTTGTATACCAAAATATTTTTTCGAAAACAATCGATGTATGTCTTCAGAAATGTTTCCCTTTCTTTGATATATTTATTTAAAAATAATAGATTATTCAGAGCTGTCTCCTGCAGGTTTGACCGTGAGGAGTAAATAGAAGTTGTCACCTTGCACTAGGGAGAATTAAGCGAAAGAGTTCGTAAGATTCCTGCAGGGAATAAGTTGTTGACAATTAAGAAAAATGCATATACACATATAAAACAGCTTTTGGATTCTGCATTGTAATTTGTAATTCAGCTGAATAGAGAATAAATGTTTTTAAATGAAGATTAATTTTTCAAATAAAATCTTTTACACGCGTTACACTTTTCTGCGATATTGCGTTTTAAGTCGTTTTGGCACTGTTAAATTCCAGTCTACTAGTCTAACTACATTATTTTTTAAGCAGAGCTTGAACGGCTACTTTACGAGTAATGTAGGCGTACTAAACTAAATTTTGTATGTACTAGATAGTAAATTTTATATTTCCAGACATGCTATACCGGCCATTCAATATGATAATTTATGTCGCTGCTGGTCTTCAACAATTTCTAGTCTTTGTTTTTTTATAGTACGTTTTCTAGCCAAGACCTTTGTTTTTAATATATTTTAATGTTTTATTATAACCAAATATTTAATTATAATACAGAAATAGTGATTGGATGAAATAGATCGTGGCCAATTTCTTAGCACCAAAGGAGTGAGTGTAAATGTCGTTTTAAAAATGTATATATCAACTGTGTAAAATTGGTTTATCCATTACCTTAATAAATGAGCCCATTACTAAATGAGCATCAATTAAAAATGAATTTAAGTTCAGTGAAGTTTTTGTCAGCTACACTGTTGTGTGTAGCTGCGTGGTTGTCGAAATATAAATCATAACACCCTTAACTTTTTTTTTCAGGTCAAAAAACAAAAACAGGTTCTCGGGATATTTAAAATCAACATGCAATCGACTTAAACAAATAAACATAAAAAAGAAAGAAACACACACACAAACGTCAATAACATCTATCATTTGAAACATAAGTCAATTGCAGTTTCCCGGGACAGTGTGAAATATACAGTATATTTTCTCTCTTTGTAAAATATTTAGTTTTGTCATATACAACCCGAATTATGGAACATTCTACAGAAGGGTTTTTTAGAAGCCTATAATAAAATATTTTTCTCCGTGCTTTTATTGATCAGTCACTCTGAGCTAATGTAATTATCCTCATCAATAGGAGACTGCAGTGAGAATCATTATGTGGGTGACATTGATAAATGATCTCCAAAATGCAGCCTTTTCTCTGCACTTCCACTTCTGACCCTTTCACATACACAAGGTAGCCATAGAAACACCTTAGGGAAGAAAAAAAAAGAAGGGAAAAAAATGCTGAAATGTAAACAGCAGCTCCAAAAAAAAAATCTGCACCAACACACTTAACAAACACTGTTCAGAAAGTTGAGAATCTATTCTTAGTGCTGTTTTACCGATAACAGACTGCACATTTGGTTGTTTAGCTCTCACTCTCAATAACTTAAACACAACTGAACCATTTTAAATCTAACAAAACGTACTTCATATATAGCTAGATGTTTATGAATGACTGAAATCCGCTATATGAAAAAAAATACATGTATTTTTTGCCGACTGCCTTTTCCCCCTTCTTGCCTTGACGTTGCGTGCAATTGAGTGGTACTCTACTGGATTTAGTTTACAGTAAAATATTACACCGATCCCATTGCCATTTTTAACCAAATGAAAGCTAAGGGAAATCTAAGTATTACAAGTTAATTAGCACGTGGCATATTTTAAGATAGCAAATATACAAATAATACAGCAATATTGTATGATTATTGGAGATGTTTTGTTCTCTCCAAAATCCTCAGAAAATGAGCATGTAGTAGAATATTCCCTATTTTATTCCTGGAGCTGTATCCAAAGTATCTTTGACAGAGAGGAGATGAAGGGGTGGAGTTGTTTAGCTCGGCTGGCTCATCCATCATCACTGTCAGACTGAATCGCAAAGAGAAGCGGCGAAGGCAATCTACCTTCTGTCTCCTCAAGAAAACTATTAATATTAAAATTCCCTCTTCACAATAATCCACTGAGCAGTCTCACGTTTTTATCAGATAATCTCAATACAAACGGAGGATTTCGTCGTCCTTTTTGTCAATAAAAATATAAACTTAACAATTAATCTTTACACAACACAAAGTTATTGTTAATCCTTTCACGCTTCCTAGCTTTATAAAATAATGACAGACGTTTTCAAAATTGTTCTCGACAACCTTGATAAAATGCAGATATACCCAAAACGTACGGTACAAATTCTGCGTTAAACAGCATTGAGGTTATTATTATTATTATTATTATTGATTATGATGATAATGACCACATTCGCAATAATAAAATAAATTGATAGACTTTGATTTCATTGATCAAAAGATTAAAAAAGTCCTTTTGTATATTTTTTTCTCTAAAAGTAAAAGTACGGATATAGCCAATTTACGGATATAGCCATTTCGATCGTTAGTGCAGATGCAGGGTGGTAAACGGCAGTAAAAGTAGGGGACTTTGGGGTAGCTGCAGCTTTTATGTGAATATGCGGACTTAGTAATAATAACAGTAATAATAGTAATATGAGGACTATTTACCATAGCAGTGTAACTACGGAAAAGAAACAGAGTAGCTAAAATTCAAAAATTGTTTGGGTCTATACATAATATGTTTTGTTCTCCATTTCTTGAAGGAATTGAACTACGAACATTTGTCTATTGTTATATAAAAATTAGGTTCCATACTAAAGACACGGGGCACGGGAAACGGGACTTTAGACCTCATAAACAACGATGACGAAAACATTAACAAGAACAACAACAACAGCAACAACAACACTAATAAATAATAATATTAGTGCTTTCGAGAATACAATGGTATTATTGAAAGGTTTCTGACTCATTTTTCTGAGTGTAACAACAACAATCACTTAAGTCCTAAATACGTAGCCGTTGATAATGTGTGAAGATAAATTCAGCTTCTACCGGCAGGTGGGTTAAGAACTCTTTCAGTGTCTGCATTGTCAACATTGTCATAATTTAGGTTTAATGCTACGATACCTAAGCCCGCAGACTAGTAAGAGTGTGCAGGATAAATGAAGGATCGGGCAACAAAATGCAGGACAAGCCAATCTCTACCATCTGGGGTCGCTGTGAAGCGGCAGAATTTATAAAAGCTGCAATTGCAAGCTTCTGTACCTTTTTTTGTGCTGTGAGGAAAAAAAGGAACACCCTACGTGTTCTGCTGTTTTGGGACATAAGGTAAACATTCATTTGTAAAATAGTAACAATTCTTGGTGCAGAACAATTTCCTCACCTTAATAGTTCAAATAAGACGTGAATTTATATTCTAGGGACAACATCGCGTTATTTTACACTAACCTTTTGTTGACGATTAGATGCTGTATTTTAGCGTGTATAATGATCTCTGTGACAAAGGAAAGCACTTGTTCTTATATTTAAGGTGTTTGAATATGAAAACCTAATTGATTTGAAGTTCGTATTCACTAGACCCTCTCATGTTAATCGCGTTTCTAATGTAGGTGGTTTTAAATGCAAATAGTACATGACACAAAAATATATATTGTTTGAAGCTACCAAAGATGATGCATTTCCACCGATTATCGCAAAAGAGCCATTAATGATGATGATGATGATAATAATAAAATAATAACAATGATAATAGGACATTGTAATATCGAACATATGCTGTGCTTTAACATACAGAAAACAGATATAACAATGCCAAGGAAAATGATCAATGACCACAGTGTGTGTTATAACCGAATAAAAAGAAAAACGTTCATACTTTGATGTTTCAATAATACGAACAATATTTTCTCGTTATCTACAATCTTTAGCAAACTCACAAGAACGCATTCCACTGTCACCTCTAGTAAGGATTTAAATTTGTCCCCTTTAATAATCTATTAAAAGAATTAATAGTGTAAAAATGAAATGACAAATTTACATTAGTACAAGTAACAAGACTACGCTGCCCTCAGAAATTACAGGACAACTCTTTTAGTTTTCTGATGGTGATTCTCTGCTTGAATAATAATAATAATATTAATAATAATAATAATAATAATAATAATCTATAAATTAATTGCTTAACGATTTCGTACTCATTATCTAATGGATAGGAAGAAACTCTTGTACACACGTAGGCACACAAAAATC